ACTGTGAGATGCCCGGTCAGTGGGTGAGGGGACAGCAGGGGATGAAAGGAAAATATACAAAGAACGAGGAATAAAGAATAATGAATGGTAGTTTATTACTTGGGGGGCTGGGAATTGAGCTTTAGCTCTCTTCTGGCTAAGACCACCTGATCTTAGCTCTGCCCTGGTTAAGACCACGAGCTCTGGATTAGTCAGTATTTCTGATTATACAACACAGCAAGGGGGCGTGAAGGCAGGTGTAGGGAATAAGAGAACTAATGCACTTAATGAGCCAGACTTGGAAAAGGTGAGAAACTATGTAAACTTGTGAAGGCCAGATCACAGTCAACAAGGCACCTGTGCTATCTTGCGGGTCATTGCTAACAAGCCACTTGCAGTGTCTAGATAACGTTTGATCTTAGAGAATGGTTGCACAGAGTCATAATTCCTCAGCTGTAGTGTTTCCTTGCTATTAGAGATGTCATGACCTCATCAATCATTGAGACCTCAATCGTGACTGTTGTCATAGGGAAGTCTATCTCTGAACACCAGCTGAAAGGTCAATTAGCAATTCACACTTGGGCCTTGGAGTGATTCATAATATTAATCAATAGCCAAATTCATAAGCCAAATCAATAATATCTAAAGCCTGCTCAGTACAGTTTTAAGCTGGTCTCCTACACAGCTGTTCTTGAGACTTACTGTTGGGTTAGACTCAATGTCCATGCCACACAACTAAGTTAAAATGTGTTATGTTCAGATCTTGATTGTGAGAATGAACTCCTCTCATGAAGTTTAATATGCATCTGATCAGTACCTTGAATATAGTAGGTCTTCAGTAAGTGTTAATTTACTGACTGACCACCAAATTTTATGCTAAAATAATGTGATTGAGGGAGGCTGCAGCTAGTTTAAAAGCTGATTGGCACACTTATATCTACAGTAGAAGTTATAAAACATAATAAGTATTGATGCAGCCAACTAGAAAATCATTAATAGTCTTCATGTGTGTGTGTGTGTGTGTGTGTGTGTGTGTGTGTGTTGCTGGGTGTTTAACCTGAGCTTTATACACGCTAAGTCAGTTCTCTAACACTGAGCTGCACCTCCAGACACATACAGTCTCATATTTAAACATGATTTTCTAGAAACTGAATTGGGAAGAATTATTAATTGGATTTGAAGATTATTATTCCAAAGAACCTTCTACCATATCTGGAAACTCATTCTGGAATCTACAAATTTTCCATTTTAAATAGTTTTGTAATGGTGGGGAAAAATGAGAATTTTTATATCACCATGCCACTCAATATAAAAGGAAAAATATTTTAAAAATCATTCAGATCAGGTCAGACTTGAGGAAGTAGTTGTGATTGTATGTAACATGAACTGTCATTGTTGTTACATCCAATTCGAGACTTTTCTTCAAGTCTATGCCAGATCTAATAACACCTCAAGTCTAATAAGGCAAGAGTAAAGGAAAATCTGGTCTTCACATTTGTAATGCATACACATTTCATAGATTTTTGAAGGAGTGAACTGTGGATTTAATGGAAAAAAATTATCAATTTTTTTCTGCATGTATACAATGAATTTTGGCTTCCTCCAACAGAGACAACTAGGTGGAGCTTCATTTGCTATCTCTCAAAAGTGGTTCTGGTTGAAGGATAGCCATCTTCATATTGAGAAGCAACACATTAGATTATTTTTATTCTTACTTTTATATATTTCTACTGATGTTTGTAACATTTAATTTCACATATTGCTCAGTAAAGTCAGGAGATTGATGTTTAGTGAAAAATATCAACTTCATCATTTAAAAGAGAAACTGTATTTTACTACTAGGTTTTATTATACATCTAGTCTCCAGCTGATTTCTATCACTCATAAAAATTTAGATATATGAAATCTGAATATTGTTAATTCCATGAGAGGCAGTGTTAAAAGAATCTGTAGCATATTGTCACTGATGTGCTTGTTACTGAAGATTAAGGTATTTTGTGTCTCTTCACAGAGGTAGAAGGAGCCAACAAACACACTAAAAGGGCGAGGTCCTAATTATGGTGAGCAAGTCTTTTTCTAAAGTTCCAACAAGACTGCCCTAATGCATGGCTTTTCTATTAGTTCTCAAATAAAATGTGAACTGGGCATGTTGGCACACACCTGTAATGCTAGCACTCTGGAAGGCTGGATAGGAGAATCACATGGTCAATCCCAGCCAGGACAATTTAAAGACCTTGTCTCAAAATTTAAAAAAAAAAAAAAAAGGGTCCAGGATACAGCTCTGTGCAAAGGCCCTGGGTTCAATCCCCAGAACCACTATTAATTAATTAATGTAAAATGGAATAATTTTTTTTTCTATCCTTAGGCTTTATCTACCAAGAAATGAACTGGACAATCTTCATAAACCAAAAACATGGAAAATTTACTGTTCAGGATTTGCAGTAGAGGTATATTTTGATGAGAATGAACCAGTCATGCTTTAGCTGGTATTTGATTAAAGTGCACCTCCAATTTTCAGATAGAATCGTGTCTGTCCCAGTCCCTGCTGCATACTTTGTCTTCTAAATCTGTCTTAGCTGACATAGCTATATTTATACATATATATGTGCATTTGTTTCTGATAAATTTATTAAATATATACAGGTAAAAATCAATGGTGATTTCTTTTTAGTTGTTTTGTTTTTGAGACAGGACACCAGCATCTTTTTTGAAAGACTATACTGTATGTCACACAAAGTTTGTCTTATATTTTCATAAATTTGGAACACACAGAACACAGAAATATTAGGCATCATTTTAAGAGCTTAGAAATAACAGACCTTTCATCTCAAAATAACTGAGCTATTTTAACATTGTGATCCTTGGCACTTTCCTGTTACTCTAGCTACTCAAAATGCAGAGGTGGGAAGATCGAGAGTTTGAGGCCAGCCTGTGCAACTTAGTGAAACCCTGTCTCCAAAAGAAAATGGGATCTCATCAGTACCCATGTACTTTTGTATTTTGGATAAGTATGCTTGTTCCCTTCTTTTATGTTTATAGTTTCAGATTTACTACAAAACTAAATTCCATTTTCACCAACTGTTACCATATATCAGTTAGGCAGCAAACAGTTTTAAACCTAGAGAAGAAAAATATTTCACTTACCAGTCCCTCATCCTCAGCACACTTTTTTCAAGTACCACACAGGTAGCTTGCTTATGATACACACTTTGTAACTACATATACACAAAAGGAATTGAAAAGTTATGCACATGTACCAATTCCTCACAATGAATGTAATCATTATGTACTGCAAACATGTACTAATAAAAATTAAATTTAAAAAATTACACATACACAGGATCTTGGTAAACATAAGAGACAAAAAATCCTCATTGTCTTCTACTTTTGTATAACATCATTAGCTGCTGACCGGTGTGATGCAACAGAGATCATTAATATTTTATTTGGTACTGAGTGCTACTTTATCCTAAACACTTTCTTTGCCACTGTATCTTAAAGCCATGGCTGTCCTTGAAGAGTTCTATTTTGGCTTTACTAAAAGTACTCATCTGAATGATTTCTCTTTTGGTATGGCTCTCAACAATCTGGACCAAGTTGAATTCATGAGGGAATGAAAAGTAGCAACTAATAAAACCTGTGTCTCTGCTAAAACACAGTAGAGTATTGCATAAACTAACAGCTACACACTGTCATTAGGCAATATAATCTTACAGAGCCACCATGGTATGTGGCCCTTCATTGAAAGGAACATTATGTAGGGCATGGCTAGATAACTCATTCCTTATAGACCCTGAACTGAGTCACACACTAAAAAAGAAAAAATCATGACAATATAAAAGGGGTTTGGGGGCTCGGTAGACCACTCCAATCAAGCAACTTTGTTACCAGCACACTAACCTGTGGGGACCACACTGGTCAGCCCCTCTGTCTGGAAGTTGCCACGGTGTTGGGCTTTGAGTGGAGATAGGACAATAGAGCACGGCTGTGGATGCCAAGGTAGACATGGATGGGAATAAAGTCCTGAGCCATGGTGGGCATAGAAGACCAGCAACATGCACCAGCCAAGAGTCTGCAAAGCTGGTGGGCAGCCTGGCTCCTCTCTTCCCTTGCCTCTAAAATCCTAAAAAGGGTACCAATGGCCAATGCAGTGGCCCAGCTAAAAGCTTTTTCTTTCCTCCCCTTAGTCTGCCTCCTTTTGAAGAAAAAGACCATAAAGCATACTTTCAAGCTTGCTAACAGTATTCTCTGTAATTAGAATTACAAAAATATGTCTTGTGGCAGAACAGGTTGTATATATTATTTTTCATCCAGTGAGCAGATTATGTCTAGGAAAATAGGAAAGAAAAAAAAACTTCACTGACCCAGGGAAGTTTGTGTGTGTCTGTGTGTGTACTCAGTACTAGGAATTGAACTCAGGACCTTACACTTGTGAGGCAGGCACAGCACCACTGAGCTAAATCCCCAGCTCAGGAAGAGTTTTTTTAACAGTAGTAATGAGGGAAGGAGACTCCAATAAGAATCTTAATTTCAGAAGTAAAGATGTAATTGAGGTTTTTCTCTTCCAGCTCTTCAAGACTCATCAAAATTTCTGGCAGTTATGAGTTGCCACACTATTCCCCTTTTGCTCTTATAAACTTGCTCAGGCTTCTTGGGGTGTTGCTTTCTAAAAACACAAAGTAACTAATTCTTTGAACAAATTCAGAAATTTATACTATAATATATCAGAATGATACTGGTTTCCTTAAATAGAATTTACTTACTTGGAATAAACCACCCAAAATTTTATTTTTAACAACAGAATAAGAGGTAGAGTAAAAAAATTCTACAGGGTCATTACATAACTGCAGTATATATGAATTTTTTTTTTTACCAACTTGCCTATAGTGAAATTATTTTACATCCAGAACCTTTGTGAAAAATGCTTTGTAGTAAAACTACCACCTTGAAACAGAGTAACTCATTTTTTGATTATTGGTTCTTAGCATGGATACAAAAGACAAATAAAACTCACCATAGACTCACATTAGGTAAATAATTTAATGATAATATAAGACTCAAATTTCTTTAAACATAATTTCAAGTTATATTTTTCTCTGGAGTACAGATCTGAAATGTTACAAACTGTATCCAAATATTGAACCACAAATTAAACAGACAGAATGAAAAAAATTCGTCTTTTGATTCCTCACTTCACTTGCTTCAGACTATTGCTATTGAAGATATTTAGTTAAATCTTTAATGGACAATCTGTGAAAAGATCTGCCAACTGCACTGCCTGGGACCAGCCCCTGAGTGCCATGAAGGAGGACCATGGACTCCTAAGCAGCTCCCTTCTTGCTAGCAGCCAGTCCCATTTTCTCTATTTTACTTCAATCCAGGCTTGTTCAGTTGAAGCACCACTTAGTAGCTACTGACCATTTAAATATATAGAGAAAAATAAAGTATAAAAAATGGTTTTCTTGTAAAGAAAAAATGGAGGTTCTGGAAGGCTGAGGCAGGAAAACTGCAAGCTTGAACCTAGCCTGGGCAACTTAGTGATTTAATGAGACCCTGTCTCAAAATTAGAAGATAGAGCCGGGGATGTAGCTCAGTGTGAAGGCCCTAGGTTTCATCTGCAGTATCATAAAAAAAGAGGTGGGGGTAAACAGAGGACCAGCTATAGCACGACAAGCAGCACTGCCCCAAATCCATAGCTCTCAGCCCTCCACATTTGGCAGCATGCACCTTGCTTCCACCCTCCAGATCCTGGCACAATGGCTAAGAGTTGCCAGAGGCATGGCAAATAGCAGGAAGCTTAAGGAAATAAGGTTTTACCCAGAGTTGCCATTCTGCCCACAGGAACAGACATACAAGGTAAGGATTCATTAACATCCTCAGCCTGCTTACTTCTGGCTTTTCAGACCTCTTAAGAATATTTATTGAGAGCACCCTGCTGGTCTTAGAGCAGCACAGAACGAGAAGGGCACTTTAGTGTGACAAGACTGATTCCTGACCGTAACTCCATAGCCAAAGAACAGTTGTCCATCCCAAATCCATGTGGATCAGATCTCCAGTGGGATTTGCTTTTCTTGGTTAGGAATACACACTGCCTAGTTTAATAAAATTGCTTTTCTTATGCTCCCCATCTAAAGTTATTATAGTGTGCTATAGTTATTAAGTGTGCTTTATAAAGGCACAGCCCATCTAAAGTTATTAAAATTCAGGACTGCCTGCCAGCCCAAAGTACAGAAGGCACCAAGATGCATGGCAGGGAGTTATGGATCCCAAGGTAAACTTCAGGACAGGTGAGGCTCACTTACTGTGAACTCTAAGCACTGTTTCTGCTCTGTTTGACAGAAGAGGGCTGCACCCATGACTATCATTAGATCATCGAACAGGGAGCAAAGGCTTCTCTTGGGTTTGGTACTCTCTCCCCTCTGGAAGAGCTTCCAATTGGTAGAAGTAAAGTAGGACAGGTGAGACAATGAATATTCCAAAGTGGATGGACTGCAAGTCTACCCAGGTCAGGACCAAGAGACAGAATTAGGTAAGAGCTGCTGTGAGCCACATGGATCTTCATCACAGCACAGCAGCACAGCGCATCCCCTCGGCCCACCCTCTATCTACAGCCAAGCTCAGGGGAAGCTCTTTGGGAGAAGGGGAGGAAGGAAGCTGGTAAGAGTTATACTGCTCCCCAAAGGCCTGATGGTCTGGGTCACAACTAGCAGTACACTCAGAACACAGAATACAAGCCCACCTAGAAAATGAATGGCACTATTTTAACAGTAAAGGATCATGGAAAAAATCCACAATGAAACTCTGAAACTTTTTCAAGAATACAGAAGCCACACCAGTATGCAAGCCTATTTTCTTAGAAATCTATGTGAATATTTTAGTTTTCAAGTACCACTTAAAAACCTTTAACCTCTTAGTACATAAGTACAGTAGACTTTAAGTACATCTACAATGGGTTAAGCAATCATTTATAACCATTTTCACATACACACACAGTCACCTCTGGGTTTTCTGGTAGTATTTGAGGTTAACCATGGAACCAAACTGTGTTTCCCTCAATACATAAACATCCAAACTGCATGTATACACACAGTTTTATGCATAAACAATGGTCTGACAGAACTACATGAAGCCTTTCAAGTTAGGTGCATAGGACCACAAGCCATCTGGTGTATTTTATCAAGGGCTAGAGCAACAACTTTTCTCTTTCAATTATGGGCAGGAATTGTGTGATGTAAAATAGAGGTGCTTCCATCAAGTTTAAGGTTTAGGGTAGAAGGGAAGATAAAGAGAAAATTTCCAATAAATCAAAATAATTCCACGTTGTTCTTGTACTCCATGAAACCCTGAGATGATCAGTAGTCCTCAAATGCCTGTGCTTTGGAGGCAGGCCCACCAGGCACTTCAGAATGCTTCCATCTGGCTCATCATCAACTTCCTACTGTACTCGTAGGCCAAAAATAGTGAGCCATTGGCAGGGAAGGCGCGAATCATTGTAGGTTTCAGTCCAGAATATAAAGCTGTTATTCCTAGAAAACAAAAGGGCAAGCAAAGACTGATGACCCTTCCTTGGGGATACCCCATGCAGCTGCAGAGAACAGGAATATTTGTGCTTACATATCCAGACAATAGCACTAAGACTCAACAAGTGATGGAAGGACTAACTTCCACTTTCCTAAACAGACTTACACAAACATGTTCAGGTTTCCTGGAAAAGCTAATTGGTATATATACCTATTTCATGCCTGGTTAATGGAATATGGATGGGGTACAGCTAAGGCCTGACCCAGCCAGACAGAGGCAACCATAAAGCCCAAGGCAGCAGCAAGAGCACCTACACCAAAGTCAGAGGCCCCTTTTCTGTATTAGCACCACCTAGCATGGCTGTGAGTACTGAATTAGATAAGGGGGGCATGCATACTTGGCAAAACTATAAAGCATCATGTGAATTTAAAGGGAAGTCATTACTGATAATGTAGAAGATTTCTGTGCTCTATTTGGGACATAAATTAAAGTTGTTTCTGTGTTGTGCTCTTTCTTTTAAAAATCAAAACAGAAGTTCATCACTCAATTTTTAACATGTATACTAGATACAGAAGGGACAGGTTGCATAAAGTCAGATTTACACAAACAACTAGTCTTTATCCTCCTACATACCTCTAAAAATTATAGCCAATCACTATAAAAAGTTATTCAGTCAAAAGTTATTCAGTCCATTTCTGATTCCAGAAACAGCATTAAGACTTATATATTCTTTTAAAGTCCTAAAGTGGTCCTGTTAGAGATCATGCTCTGATAATGTCTGTATTCTCTAAACCAAGTGGTGTGAACTTCAAATCATTTAAACCCTTAGATTGAGTCCATATCTTAAAAATTCCCTCCAGGCTGTTAAGAACAAAGAATCCTGACAGGTATCTAGTACAAGGGTTACAAAATTGAACTTTAAAGATTTGTGAGAGCCTTGATAGCATGATAGCACACCCTTATAATCCCAGCACTAGGGAGGCTGAGACAGGAGGATCACTCTGAGTTTAAGGCCAGCCTGGGCTACACAGTAATATCTTGTCTCAAACAAATTCTTGAGAATGGAAATAAGCTAAGGCAAGGGTCTGGCAAACAAAGACACAAATGTGTATTAACATGCAGTGCTAGAAATAGGACATGAAGTAGGGAGAAGAGAGCAATTACACATCTGATCAAACCTCAGATAAGACGAGTATAAAGTGACCTGTCTGTACATACCTACTCTGTTTCTGCAATTAGCAGACTCACCTTCATTTCTCACAACACTTAGAAAGGTTCCGATAAATCCTGCCTGTTTTCCAGACATGGAAAGAACTTGAATTCTGGATTTTATACAATCCACTGGGTATACAGCAAGCCACAAGCAAATTCCACCAACTCCACCACTTAACATCAAAGGGACAGGGCCTAGAGAAGAAAAATAGCAAATGATGTTTTATCTCAAAAACAGCTGATGCTATATATTTCTAAAAATCAGTGGCCACAGGTAGATAAAAACCAAAATACTAATGCTACAGAATACAATGCTTTGAGAAAACTGTCAAAGCCCAGAATACATGGTTCCCTTTAGCAGCCAGTGTCTGGCCTGGGCCTCGCCAGAACAAGAAGCCCTAGACAGGGCTGTGTTTAGGCTGGTCACCCAGAGCCGCTGCCCTGGTCTGCACAAAACAGCAGGCTCCCACAGCATGGCAGGGCCTCACCTCGGCGAATGAGGAGGGGCCACGGAAACACAGTCCACATCTTTTTCAGCCTTCTCACCCTGAAGTAAATATGTTAATGCCCAAAAGCCCCAATTCTTTCTTTACCATGAAAAACTAAAATTGTCTTATTAAACACACCAGTTAAGTCTGGGAGCTTGATTAACTGCATAATAGATCCAACACACTGAAGTGAGATGCTTAAATCTGACGTGTGAGTCAACATTGTCAGTTGTGTCAAGCAGCTGAATAAGACAAGTTAGACCTATACTTTTCACTGCTCTCAAAACACTGTCAAGACTTATTACCATATTTTAAGCTTAGTGCAAGATTTATAGGTGGTTTCTCAAGGGGAAGGTAATTTCAGTATTTCTCAAAAGTGCATCTAGAACAATTAATAAATTTTATTCCAGAAAAGTAGTTTGGATACACTGCTTCAGCCCCTGTCCTGAGGGGACAAGGTTGGGGGAAGAGTGCTAGCAATCTCCTGCTGCCGTATTACTTTCTAGCATCTAGAAACTTCCCAGTTCTGAGCAGACCCCCACAGAGGGAGTACAGAAAAGATAATGCACAGAAATCACACCATCAGGAAGCAGATACTATCATACCCAAATGCTGTCCAGGCAAACATATTTACCTAGTTCATCTTTTGATCTCCCTGATGCAAAAAATGATCGGCTTAGTTCATAGCCCCCAAAGAACAAGAAATAGCCTGGTACTTCCCGAAGTAAAGTGCTTGAGAGTCCATGGTAGAAGCCCAAGGGGCCATCCTTCCTAAGGACACTTTTCACGACAGACCAAACTGTACTGGGAGGAGACACAGAGTGAGAGATAAGGTTAGTACAGGCAGGGAAGGAAGAGGACAAGGGCATTTATATTTAACTAACAGACTTGATCAAGCATGAACAATGGAGCAATCAATTTTGTAAACAGGAACCAGGAATTCTAACAAAAGGCATCCTTTAGTAGGAAAGAAAAATCTCAGAAGCAAAAGTACTTTATAGTAAGTTTGATCATGTAAGTTACTAAGAAAATTATATTAAATGAATGCACACATTTCTAGAAGTCACAGTATCCAAGATGTAAAAAGAGCTATGACCCATGTTTTCTTTTCCATAGTAAATAAGTAAAACCTGAAATTATAATAAGGAGTCATCCAAACTCAGCAAGAAGAAGACGGTTTTCCCAGTCCCTTATCTCCCTTGGATTCCTGTCTCTGATTTCTGGTGTGTTTTAGGAGAATCTGTTCAGATGCTTCTGTGCTGTTTCGTTTGATGGCAGCAACATGAGCAGAGGAGTTAGTATTACTTGAAGGCTACACAAATTCTGAGAGTTGAGCTAAGATCCTGCCATGCAAAAAGCACCCAAAACTGAGTCCCTAGAGAGCAGAGGTGCAGGGGAGCTCCTTTTAAGCAGATCAGAGCCCTGCTCCTAGAACAGCTGGAGCACAGCATACTTGTAGACTGCAGACTTTCTTTCACGATGGTGTGAGTGACAAGTTTTTATCCCCATGTTGAATAGGGAGAGAAATCACATACTCAGTACAACTTAGTGAATTCCCTCTCCTCACCTTGTTCTCAGACAGCAGGGGAATCAGCTTGGAGAGGATGAGGATTAAGTCCTATGGTAACAAAGACCATGAGTGGTGATCTTTCTGAGAGCTTCAGAAGGCTCCACCAGGCATTCGTTGGCTGTACCCTTGGATAGCACTGCTCCCATTCCATATACACATTGTACAGCCTGCCCGACTCGAGCTATCATATTCACTAACATGTAAACCTCAAATACCAAGCCAACCAGTATTTACGTTTTTGTAAAATGTCCATCTAAGTTCTGTGGATATATCTTTAAGTTACCTTAAACTACTTCTAAGGCATATGAGGGCAGCTTTCTGGGTGATGTTAATGTTTTATTCTTAATCCAGGAACTGGTTACAAAGGGTCTTCATTCTGTGACTATTTACAGAATTGTACACTTATGATTTGTGTGCATATTCATGACACTGGTGTATGTTACATACAAATAAAAAGTTTTCAAGGCTTTCACTTTTGGACTTCTATTTAAGTAATGAAGAACAGATACAACGAATGAATCTCAAGAGTGCAGAAAACAGGCACTATTACAAAGTCCACTCTGGCTAGGAGGAGACTCAGAAATGAAAATGGTCAACCTGTCCACTGGCTTCCCCAGCAGACCCACAGGCTTTAAGTTAACCATAGCAGCCTCTTCAATTTGAATTTTAGCCAGCCAGATGTCAAGATAAATAAGTTTTGTGATTAATAAGGTACTAAATTGCTTTTCAATTCAAATCAATTATATCATATATATATGATAATCATTTTAGGGCTGAGCTGGAGGGCGATTTGATCATTGAAGAACAGCTGTGTGTTGACAAGGGTTTTGAAGAATGTCTTCAGAACATGGCCTTTGCTAGGACATTTGAAAGACTGGGGAAGGCAGGGAGGAAGCAGACGAAGTCAATATTAGGATCTGGGGTCATGAGCCTGAACACTCATGTGAAACCTGGGAAAGAGGCATCAAACACTCATCACAAAACTCAAGTCAGTATTTAGGAAGGCTCAGCTCACAGATCCAGTTCAAAAGCTGCCTACGACATGCCTCCAAATATTGTCTGCACCCAAGGGGATAAAAGGGGTGTTAAGCTCTAGGCTGCACCATTTCTGGGTGTTAGATATTTGCCTCAGATAGCACATGGAGTGTTGAGTGTAACCCTCACTGTACTCAATGAGCATTTCAGAAAATTATACTCTGACTGGTACAAGAAGCACAATATTTTCTTTTTTTTTCAGTACCAGGGATCAAACTCAGGACCTTGAGCTTGTGAGGCAGGCGTGGTGCCACTGAGCTAAATCCCCAGCCCTCCCAATATTTTAGAGTAGACAAATCCGTTTCTGTTCCTTAGTTTCAACACAATATAAAATTTAAAACATAATATACAAAGGCAACAGGGACCTAATATTTGTGCCTGAACAGCGCTTACTTCTGGCTTCTGTCTGTCTTTCCTGATGTCTCCATTTCAAACATGGTCTGCAGCCGGCACTTCACAAGCTCTGTGGGGCACAGCACCAGAGCCGCAAAAGCAGAGGCGACGGATCCTGCAGCTGCATTCTGCACATCACTGAAAGCACAAACAGAGAAGACTGCCGCACATCATCAGCTCATTTGTTCCTTCAGCAACACCAGGAGAGGGTAGGGAACATGTATGTGCTATTACATCTAAGGATCCTATGATCCTGTGAGGAGCCAGCAATATCCCAATTTACATCTGGAGAAGTGATGCTTAGGGAAGCTACATAATATGCCCAGAGTACACAGCTACTAAGTGACACTGTGAGGAATCAAACCCAGGCCTGACTGACTTCCCCATTGATGCTGTGTTTATCAGGCACAGTGCTGAATTTGAATGTTTGTGGTCCCCTCCACAAAATTCATATGTAGAAGACCTAACCCCCAATGTGATACTATTTGGAGGAAGTGTCCTTGAGAGGCAATTAGATATAGATGAGGATTTTGAGAGTGAGCTCCTCATCGTGGAATTAGTGCCCCTATAAGAAAGGACCAGACAACAAGTTTTCTCTCTCTGCACTGTGAAAACACAGTAAGCAAACACTATCTATGAATCACAAAGTGGGCCTTTAACAGACACCAAATCTGCAAGGACCTTGATCTTGGACTTTCCAGCCTCCAGAGCTGTGAAGTTTTATTTCAGCCTCACCACTCTACAGTATTTTGTTATAGTAGCCCAAGCTAAGACAGTTGACTTATAAAATAAAGCCAAAACAACTTGGAGAGGGGGAAAAAAAATCACCCTGTCCCACCACTCAGAGCATGCACTATTGACATTTCAGTATATTATACATTAAGCTTTGAGTAAAATTAGGTTATAAAGCTATCCCTCCCTGCCCCAAATCTAACCTGGAGCAGCCAGACATGTACATAACCACCAGAGATGAAAACTCAGCATAATTTTTTAAACAAAACTTCCTACATTGTGAAAAGATGTCTCAGTTTAGCTGATGACCTCCTGCCATGGTCTGAGTGTGTGCCCCAAAGGTTCATGTGCTGGAAGCTTGCTCCTCAGTGTGGCAGTGTTGAGGCAGTGGGACCTTTAAGAGGCAAGGCCTAATGGAAGGTAGTTAGGTCACTGGGGGCACTGCTGCTCTCAGTAGGAATTAATGTCATTCTGGCAGGACTCAAGCTAGTTCCTATAAAAGCAGGTTGCTATAAACAGGGAAAGCCTCACCTCTGAATCTCTCTGGCTTCCTATAACACCTATGACCTCTCCCTGTCACACATACTGTACTGCAACCATCATACCATCCACCATGCTCTGATATGGCCAAAAGGTTTCTCCAGAGCCAAGCAGATACCAGTGTCAGGTTCTTGACTCTCCAGAACTGTGAGCTAAATAAACCTCTTTTCTTTATATGTTACCTAGCCTCAGGTATTCTGTTATAGGAACAGAAAATGGAAATATCTCCTCAGCCTCAGCAACACAGAGGGCAAGAGGAGGGGACAATAGGCCTCAGAGCTGGTGAAGCCTGAACAAGTCTGCATACTCAGTGGATTTAGGTGAAATGGTTAAGCTGGTGATGTTGGCTTTTGTCAAGGATTTTTTCTTTGTCTTTTGTGATTTTTGGCATTTTTGTTCTTTCTTCTGTTTTTGTTACCCCTTGCCTTTTTTCCGTCTGTTGTGGGATTCTCGCATTCCTTGGGTGTTGCCTGGTTTGTCATTCTGCGTGATTTTTGTCTTGATTTGTTGCAGTGTTTTCTAATGGTTCGTTGGGGATATTTGCGTCGATGCTTTTTGGGCCCCTGTAGTTTTTTGTGGGTTGTCTTTTTGTTTTTTGTTTTCCTTTGTTTTTGGTGTGCAAACCCTTCTGGCTTGGTTGCCTGACTTTGGTATTATTCCTTGGCTTTTTGTTTTCTTTGGATGGCTTCGACCTCTTTCGAGTTTGCCAACTCTCTGCGGTGGACCTTCTCTGCTGTTTTGCCTGCATTGTGTTGTCTATTCATTTGGTTCTGGTGTTTTTTTTTTTTTGTTGCAGTTTTCTTCTTGTGTGTGTTTTGTTTTCTTTTTTTTTGTTGGTTTTTCTTTGTTTTTTGTTCAGTTTTGATGGTTTATCTGTGTGTGTGAGCTTGCCTTTCGTTTCTGGTCTTTGTTGAGCTGTCTTCTTTTGGGGTTTTTTCTTATGATGTGTATTTTGGTTGTGGTGGTTGTTTTCTTTTCTTTTTAGTTTCTATTTGTATTGCTGTGGTTTTTTTCTTTCCCTTTTTTTGTGTAGTTTTTGTTGTGTTTTATTCATTTCACGCCTTTCTTCTTTTCTTCTTTGTTCTTTTTTGTTTTTTTGGTCTCAATTTTATTTTTTTATGGTTTGTTCTTTCTTTCTGTGTTCCTTTTGGTTTGTCTTTTTTTTGTCGTCTGGGCTGTCTGTTTATTTGTTGATGGTTAATTCTTTTTTTGTGTGCCTTCCTGGGTTTGCCCTTTTGTTTTAGCACTGGTTTCATTGTGTCCTCTTGGTTTTGTCCTTTATGTCTTGTTTGTTGTTTGCTTCTAGGTCTTTTGAATTGTCTTTCCTTTTTTCTCGTGTGTTGACTTGGTTATTTCTTGTTTTCTTTGTTCTTTTGCTTTTTTTTGTGTAGTTTCTTTTGTTTCTTTTGCATTTGATTTCTGGTTTTATGTTTGGTGTGATTTTATAGGATTGTTGAGATTGTTTCTTTTCTTTTGTTTTTTTTTCAGCGTGGTTTATGTTTGTCGTTTTGTTTTCTGACTTTTTTCCGTGTGCTGCTGAGAAAAATGTGTGTTCCACTGTGGTTTATGTGACTCTTTCGATTTTTTTTGCGTTCTTTTTTTCAGGGTTGTGTTTTAGCTCTATTTTTTTTTTTGTTTTTTGTCTGATTGGTTTCATTTTTTCAGTGGGTTGTTGACATTCCCTACTGTTTTTGTCTTGGCGTTTTTTTGTTTTTTTGTGTTTCGTAGTTTTTCTTTTTTGATTTGGTGTGTACGAACTTTTCCAGAATCTCTATTTTGGTTTGTTAGCTCTTCGGGTTGACCTGTTCTGTTTCCGTATGTGTAGTGTCTTTGTGTCTCTTGTTCGTTTTTGGCTTGTTGTTTTCTGTATCTCCACTTGTTATTTGCTTCTTTTTGGCTTGCGTGTGTCTTTTTTGGGTCGTATGTGGTTTCTTTTTGGTTTGTCTTGTTTGGGGGGTTGGGAGCCTTGAGATTGCGTTCTCTTATTTTCCAGTGCTTAGTTATTGTTGTTTTTGGTTTATTTTTCGATTGTTGGTTCTGATTTTTTTGTTTTTCTGTGTTTGCTCTTTTTTTAGATGTTTGTTTTTTTTTTTGCTTTTTTGTGCTGGTGTTTCTCTTGGTTTTTCTTGGGTGTTTTTTTCTGTCTTGGTGCTGGGTGGTTTTTTCCTTTGGTGTTTGTCATGGGACTTTTTTGTTTGTTGCCTTTTTTGTTCCAGGTTGTTGGTATGTGTTTCCGATTCTGTTTGTACTTCCTGTGATGCTTGGGTTGGGCGTAGTTTCCTGGAGCTTCTCCTGGCTCCTGCTCTGGGGTTCTGGTATTGGTGGTGTGGACCCCTTTTTGTGGGTTTTTGTTTGTTTTTCAGGGTAATTTTGCTCTGTTTGGACTTCTGTGTTCATTGTTTTAGCGTTTGGACAGTTTTGTTCCGGGTTGTGCTATCTTTTCTGTTTTGTGTTGTAAGATCCCTGTTCTTTTGTGTGGCTTGCGTTTCTGGTTTGCTTGGTGTTTTTCTCTAGTTTCTTTTTGTAGTCTCTCCTTTTGTTGCTTTTTTGTTCTTTTGCTTCTTCTGTTTCTTGGCTTCGTTCTTTTTTGGTCGTGGGTATTTGAGCTTCTGTCTCTCTTTTATTGTTTTTTCTTGCGTTGTTTCGCTAGCTTTTGCTTGTTTTTTTTTTTATCTTTGGTTTCCGTTCTTTGGTTTTGTATTTTTTTTCTTTCTCTTCTTCTTTTTTTTTTTTTTCGTCTGGTGCTGTTGTTTTTTTGTTTTTCTGGTTCATCTGTCCTGTGTCTGCTTTTGCTTTCTTCTTGTGGTTTTTTTCGTTTTTTTAGTGTTGCCACTCTGTGTTCTTGGTCCCATGATCTATCTGTTGTTTCTGTTGATTTTTTTCTATGGTTTTTTTCTGTTTTTGTTTTTCTCCTTTTTCTTTTTTCGTTCCCTTTTATCTTTTGTATTATCTTATTTAACTCAGTTTATTTTTTCTTTTCTTTCTTTATACGGTTTTTTCTGTGTCTTGTTGGTGTGTTTAGTGGACTTTTTTTTACTCTTGGTGCCTATCTTTTTCATTTGGTTGCTTTTTTCTTGTTGTGTTTCCACTTTTTGCCAATTTGGTTTTTCAGTTTTCTTTTTGTTCCTCTCGTTCCGTTTTCATAATTTTAGCTTTTTTTAGGCTGGGTGTTTTTTGTTTCATGTTGTGCTTTTGTTTCTTCTGTTTCTTTTTTTTTGGTGTTTGGTGTTTGTGTTCGGCTCACTGGGGTCCTGAGAGGTTTGGCTTTTTTGTTTGTTTTTTTTCCTGGCGTGTGGGGTTGCCGTGTTGTGGCTGTTTGTCTAGTGGTTGTGTCTTAGGGGTTTTTTTTTTGTCTCATCTCCTTTTTTGTATCTAGCAGGTGCGTCTTTTTGGTTTTTCCTCCGGGGCTTTGTCAAGTGGTTTTCTTTTGTTTTCCCGGGTTTTTCTTGCTCCTGCTCTATTTGTGTTTTTGTCTTTCTGTTTTTTTATGTCCGTTCTCTTTTTCCCTCGCTTTGTAGTCTGTTGGTTTATTGGGTGCTTCCTTTTTTGTGCGGCCTTGCTTTTGTTGTTTTGTGTGCTGTTTGCATTGTTTTGCGGTTCTTCGTATTTGTGGTGCCTTCTGGCCACGGTGGCAGGCTGCTAGGGTGGTTCGTTCTGTGCTTGAGGTTGCCAGTGGCGTGTTGTTTGTTTCATTTGTCTTCTTTTTCCCTGTTTCATATTTGGCCTGTTTGTGACCTCCTCTTCCAATCGTAGGTTCTTATTTTAGAGGGGACGATGTTCTTCTCCTTTGTTATCTTTGTTCGCTTGTCCTTACACTTCTGTGGGTATTTTTGACTAGTCATTCTGCTCTCTGTGTGTGGTCTTTTCGGTTTTGTCTGCGTGTCTCGTTGTGGTAGTGTGCGCCCTGGCTGTTTGCAGTGTCGATATTTTGTGACTTGTGTTTCTTTGTGTGCTGTGTTGGCCATTAGCGCTGTTCTCGTGCTCTTTTCTGCTTCTCGGACTGCCACCTGGGGGTGGTTCTTCAGGCGGTTTTTTGTGCGGCGCTGGTTTGGGTTGTGGAAGGTGTGCTTTTTCGCGTTCATTGTGTCGCCGTGCTTCCCGGTTAGTGTACCTGTTGTGTCCCTTGTACTGGACATGGGGGTGTAGAGGTTCCTTCTCTATTGTTGTGCTTGTCTTCTGTTGTTTTTTTTTTGGGTGGTTGTGTAGTCAGACCTCCATTCCTTCTGACCCTGTTACGGTTGTTTTGTTGTCTTTGTGTTTTTCTCCCATTCTTTTGTTAGTTGGCTCCTGAGTCCTTGTGCTTATGGTTTTTTTTTCTTGGGTTTTGTTGGCTTTTTTTCGGTATCCAGTTTCCTGGCTTTCATGGTTTGGCATTTTTAGGTTTCCGTAATGTCTTTTGGTTTGTATTTTTCTTTTTTGTGTACTTGTGGTCAGTCGATGTGACCTGTGTGCATCTCTTCTTGTTTCTTGCTTATGTGCCAGTGTGAGTGTGAATTTGAAGTAAAATGTATTGTCTTTTGCACTAGTGGTTAATGGGTCGCAGGGGCTGTGGATGTGGGAGGGGTCGTGGATAGGAAATGGGGGACTTGGGTTGGTATGATCACTGCCTCTTTGGCTACTGCGTTTTTTTATGTTGAGTGTGATGGAGGTCTTGGAGTGCTGGCTGGGGGAGGGAGAACAAGTGCGTGGCTAGTCCGTTTATGTCAAGGTGTTTGTTTCTATTGATGACTGTTTTTATTTTTTACTCTTCTAATTTATCATTTGTATTATATTCAGGAATAGATTGTCATTTTTTTTCTTTTAGTGTCTCTGGTTTGTCGTTTTTTAGTGGTTGGGTTGTAGTTTGTTTTTTTTTTGTGTTTTGTTTTGTTTTTGTAGTGTGGATTTGATTGGGGTTTTTGCTGTTTTGAGGTTTTTGGTGTTACCACTTGTGTTTCTCTGCAGCTGAATTTTTTTTGTTGTTGTATTGTGTTTTTTTTACTTCTTTTGTGTTAGATTTGCTGGAGTGGGATTGCTCTGTCATTTTTATCTTCTAGTTCTAGTTCTTTGCGGTGTCTTTATCTTGGTTTCGCCAGTGCTTGCTCCCGTGTCCACTGTCCTTAGCTCTGTCGCTTGTTTCCTCTTTCCTCCCAGCCCCCGCAGCATTTGTTATTGGTTGCTTTGCTGTTAGGTGTTTTGCTTAGTGCCGTTGGTTCTTGTTTTTTTTTTTCTTTGCATCTTTTGAATGTTCCGTGTTTGTGACTGTTTTTTCTTGTTTTTTTGCTCTTTGTATTTCTTTGATGCTTGTGTTTTCGTTTTATCTTTGCATTTTTTGTTTAGGTTTTTTTATTTGTGCGATTTGATTTTTTTGACGTTCTTTGTGGCTTCTCGTTCGTTGTGGTTTGTGGAGCTTCTGGTGACTATTTTTTCTGTTCTTTTGGGTTGTCTTTTCGATCTGCCTTCTGTGATCTCATCACTACCATTCAACTTCTTCTAGGGCTGCAATGATACACTTCTGCTTTGTCTTGCCAAATCATCCCTAGGTCCGAATTTGTGGAATATGAGTTTGCTTTAATTCAGAGTTACTCTCTACTAGGTACTGCTGAGCTAAGACAAAATGAGACCCAAAGTATATCAAAGTAAATTAATTATACCATAACATATGATTATCAGAATTTTTTTAAGGATAGATACCTCAGCATTAATTTTTCTTTATTATACAGATTGAATAATGAAACATAATTCTTGAAGCCAACTTATGTTCTTTCAAACTATGATATTCTCCAAAGTTCTGATATTTTACATAATGCAGAATATATAAATCTAGTAAAAAAAGTAATAATGAAAATAATATAAATTTTTGTGCAAATAGTTAATTAAATGTCTAAAAAGCCTAAAGTCTAATTGTGTAAGATAATTCAGTAATATCTAGTGTAAAATACAAACTGATGATCTGTGAATTAATTAAAGGAATGTAGCACTCTTAGGAAATACTTTTTAACTATAAGCCACCCTTTACATTTGATGGCCTGTTGATTTTACATATTGTTGAGCCTCTATCAAGGAATAAAAAAGACATGCTACAGTGCACACCTCCAGCCTGAGCAAGTATAATACTTTTTATATCCATTGATTATTTTCAAATATCCATGGATCCATTAGTTACAGTGTTTCTTAGGGAGGCATCTTTTTATAGCGTGTAGGCCACAAAATTATTGCATTAAGAAATCTTAATATCAAAAAGTGTTTTGAGCATGCTACTGTGGTATGTATCTATAATTCCAGCACTCTGGGAGGCTGAGTCAGAAGGATGAAAAATTTGAACCCAGCTGAGGCAACTTAGTGATTGAGTGAGACGCTGTCTCAAAAAAGGAGGGCTGGGCTGAGGATGTAATTCAGAGTGAAGGTCATGGATTCAATCACCAGTACCATCAACAAAACAAAACAACAGTGCTTTGAAATATAGTTTGTTATCATAATATTTTCTATTGAGGTATTTACTTAGTTATTTAATGCAGTGATAATACTGAATAACAGCAAATCACAAAATCTCCATCTCACATAGTCCTCTGTGGGTCACAGGGGCGGCCATGTAGAACTTAGCTAACACTTGTGCCTGAGGTGGGAGGAGCTAGGTGCTCTGGATACAGGACGCTCTCGCCTGTGATAGCTTGAGACACTTGAACCAGCCACTCTTTTATCTGGAGCATGAAAGCCCGGGCATGATCTTACATCAAGTGTGGAGTATAGAAGGCTAGCTAAATCACTGCAGAACTTTTCAGACTTCTACTTTTGTCACATTTATTAATGTCCTTGGCCAGATCATATCACAAAGCTGGGGCTTGCATCAGAAAGGAAGACATGGTATAGTACTTGGTGTTATCTGCTATTTAGATCCTTTGCTAGGAATGAAGGACAAGTTAGCCATTGCAGGGGTGCTCAATTTCTCTAATTCTGCTTCTTTTAATTACATTCCACAAATGTTGGGTCCAAGAGTATCCCTTACCTCACTTCCTACCCGAATCACCACATCTGAGAATATTTGTCAGGGAATCTAATCTGCAACATACTGCAAGTTCCACAGAAGTAGTCACAATGATTCAAGGATCATGTAAAGAATGGAAGTGCTAAGTGCCATCATTTCCAGCATAACCATCAAGTAGAGTGAATTTTCATCATTCTTTTTTTTTTTCATTAAGTTTATTGGTACATTTTAGGTATACAATACAGTTACATTCATCATTGGGATCTTGTACCTTTACATAATGTATCTTGGTTCTTATTTTTTCCCCATTCCCCTGCCCTCCCTTCACCCCCTCCACCCTTACCTATTTACAAAGACTTTGTTTCCATTTTTTTTTAGATAAACTAAAGCCTTTAATTCAGCACATTACTACTTGGATGGAGTGTTTCCATATTTTCATTCAATCAGCCTGAAAGGTATAGACACAGGTTCCCACAATAGGCATCTGCAAGGCATCTGTGACAATTCCACTTCCAACAGGGAAAAGGAGGAAGACAAGTGAATACTGACATGCAAATTCCTCCCCACATCTGTAATTTACCCTATACCACCTGGTCCCGCCCTGCCTCTTCCTGTGAGTGATGACTACTCAGAACACCAACATCAGCTGCTGGGCCCAACACCTAGCAGATTCTCAGAGATTTATTAAGTGAATAAAGCCAAGGCTAATGACAAGGACCAAATATTTTCCTATTTACGTAGAAGCTGGACTTCTGATCATGTTTTTCTCTTTGAAAGACAAATGAAAAGAACTCTGCATGTCACAGCTGGCTGCTCCTCATTCGGCAGGAGAAGTGCCCAGACTGTGGCATTCAACATTTACCAAGGGTGACATTCAGATTGTCAGCTCCTGACACACGGGCAGCAAACCACAGGGCACTGAGGCGATCTACCTAGGCAGAGACTGTACTGATGGAGAAGGGGCTGCTTGGAGGGACGACAGACAGGCGAACCCCACAGCCCTCAACCAATCACAGTACCATTTAACATGGCAGGGAAGCATTTTGTTTTTAAGATATTCCAATCAAAAAAGGTTTTTGAGTTGTTTTTCACTTTGGCATTTGAGAGGATAAATAAATAACCACATTCCCCAACCACATTCATTATTCACTGCAACAGAGCTGTCAGAGCACTGGCTGGGTTACAGTATTAGAATTGTTAAACTACTAACTCTTAAAGTACTACCTAGGTTTCCTTTTAAGAAAATGTAACTTTTGTGATACACCTGGCCTCAGATCAATAATTACTCAATTATCTATCTTCTTTAAATTCCCCCATCCCAGTAGTCTAGGGCTCAAGACCCTTTCCTGGAATCTCTTGTACAGCAAGTGAAGACAGGGACAACGATGACTTCTTGGCACTTTAAAAGAGAAGAGGTGGACAGGAAACCTGTCTGACAGGAAGCTTTGTTTCAAAGAAAAAGGAGACGCAAAGAGCAACATGTTTGTGCTCCACCCCTGACCCCTCAGACCACAGCTGCTCTGATCTCACAGATGAATCACTTCAGTGAGTGGGCTTCGGCTGAGAAGCACCAGGGGTCCTCTACTCCTGGCAGAAAAATCCTGAACTCCAGCAGTTTACATGTCCAAAAAACCATGGCAGAGAAGACGCCAAACTACTCCTTCACCTCCAGGAAGGTGGCTGCCCCCATGGGGACGATTTATGTTTTCTTCTGAGGTTAGTCATTTAAGGAATGTCTAAAAGATAACAAAATTAGACAAGGAACCAGAAAATCAAGATCCTGGCTCTGCTTCACATTTCCTAGCTGTGTAACCTTGAACAAATCCCCCTCTTTGGGACTCTCTTCTGCACTGGAGCCAATGATCTCTAAAGGTCCATCTAGCTGCATCATTCAATGATTTTGGTGACATAGAGACCATTATAGGGGCAAGGAACAAACAAACTCATGGGCTCTTAACCTGTTATTCATCAAATGCATGATTTGGGTTTTCTTCTGAGGCAGTCGGACTTAAAATTAATTTCTGCTAACAACTGTGACTCTTCATCTAGGCCTAAAAATGCCCTAAATGCAACTAAAAGCAGACCAATACATGACCTTCATTTTGTGAAAATCTGGATCCGATTATTTTCAGCTCTACACATAGGCAAATTAGTCATTTAAGGAGTGTCTAAAAGATGGTACAACGAGGTTTATCAGCCCTAAATTTACCTCGCCTATCTCATTACCCTTCAGGATGGAGGAAACAAGAATAAGATTTACAGGGACTTTCAGCTACACCCAGCAATTTCCACTGTCTTAAACCTACCTCATCTTGGATCCCAGCAGAGCCTCACATGACTGAGACTGCCTTTCAAGCTGTGAGGATTCTTCCCATGGGAACCAAATTTGGCCCTCAAGTCATGAGGATTCAACCTGAGCTACAAAAGCAGGACTGAGATAACTGATTGGACCCTGGCCCAACTCAGCTAGTCCTTAAATACTGGCCTCCTGTTTTTGTGGATGGGCCAGTCTGAACCCCTATATCAGAGTGTGCTCCCTCCAGCTACTCAAGTTGGAGTCTTTTCCTATTTGTTCTTATTTTTCTTGTAGGGGACTGGCTTCATCTTTGCCAAAGCTGTATTTCCCTTTATTTTCTCCTGCAATTAAAAATTTCCCTATAAATCCATCCTTTAAATTTCTAGTATAATAAAAGTAAAGACATAAAAGCAAGTGGCACTGGGAACTTCGAAAGTAGGAATACTGCTTCCCATTTGCATTCCAGGTACCTCACAGTAGACTGGAGGTTCAAATGTCACTAATAGGCACCTCTTCTGCCCAGTCTCCACCCAGGCTCCCTGCCCCTGCACTACAGTTTGCCAGCCTTGGAAGTTGCAGAACAGGGCAACTCTACATTAGCAAGGGGGAGCCCTGTGCTGCTAAGCATGGAGAGAAATACCTACCAGGAGTCAGCAGGGACACAGTGCCCGTTTGTGTAAAGGACTGATGTGGTAATAGTGTAATTGTTAAATAAAACATGCCCACCACAAATGTGTTCTATACCAGGCTCCTCAATACTGCTGCAACCTACATTAAAACTACCAAAGTATAAGCATGGTATCCAAATACCTGAATGCTACTTAATTATATCAAAGATCCTAGATCTTTGATCAATGGACTGAAGGACATAAAATGGCAAAAGCTGAGGATCCCCCCTGTGGTTAAATACCCTCCTGAGACAAGCCCATGCCCAGGGCATTCCAACAGTGAGAGGCCAGAGGCCCGCAGAGCAGTGTGGGGGACTGATGCAAAGGCACAAGACTAAAGGGCAAGAGACTGCAGGCACGGAACCAGCCAGCCTTCAGGCCTGCCAGTCAGGCTGAATACTCCTGTGGTCTCTAACCTGGGAGAGGTGCCCTTGCTGGAGCTCCTTGTCAGTATCTACAATATGTTGTCTTTAGCTTTCCTCATTAGGCTACTTTGGCTAACCTTTGATTTGTAGATAAAGACTTTGTTCTCTAAACAAGGATTTTTTTTAAACAATTGGTCAAAGACAGCATGAGAGGTGGCAGCCCCTTTAACAGTACTTGATCCGTCGACCTGGGAGGTACCACTGGATTAGAGCACATTGGGCAACGTAGCCCTCTGGTCTCCCCAGACTGGGAAGCTGCAACCTTTATGGGAATCAGTGTGGAAGGCAAGGTAGAGTCAGAGGTTCACTTGGGAAATGAGCAATCCAAGTCCTAAGATAGCACAGGACTTCGGAAAACTAAATGACCACCATACCATATGAATCCCATCCCACAGGTAGCTTTAGGCTGAGCTTCCTAGTATGCCTGCCTTTTTCTTTTCTTCTTTACGGTCCGGGGATTGAACCTATGGCCTTTGCACTGAGCTACATCCCAAAACCCTTTTATTTTGAGAGAGGGCCTTGCTAAGTTGCCTGGATTGGGCTCAAACTTGTCTCAGTCTTCCAGAATGCTGAGATTACAGAAATGCACCATCATGCCTGGCTTATGCCTGTATCCCTTCTAACACAGTGGCTGGCATGTTGCCAGCACTGGCTCCCAATTGTCCTTGGGTTCACCTTAGCTGACCGTTCCTAGAAAATCCTACCCCCTCTCCTTTCCTTCTGGTTCTAAGACACTACTGAATATGTCTCCCTTCTAAAGCAGACCCTCCTTCCTTTCCCAGCATCAAGAATAGTAGCTAGCATTTCCTACAGAAATAGCACGGTGTTTTTTCTGTACTGAAAAGGACCTGAAGATAGCCAAGACTGGGATGGAGTCCAAAGTCACCTGCATACCCATGCTGTGTGACAGTGGACAAGTGACTTAATCTCTGAGCTGTTTTCCAGGAGTACTGGGGACATTCTCACCCTTCACCCAAAGACTCAAAGTTTTATAATACAACAGAAATTACCTTTTGCCATGCTCTAAACAATATTATACTTCCATTAAACAGATTTGATTCAAGATTAAAGCATGTTGCTTCTAGGGTGACAAATGGAATATTTTCACACCACTTTCCCTGAACCTTGCAGAGATGATACTTGAGGAACACAGAAGACTAGGTTTTCTCTGGATTTACCTGCAGCCCCCGCTGTGAGGTCAATGGCAGCTTGGATGGCAGGATTGGACTTCATGGTGCTGCTGGGCTCCGTAAAAGTTGACTCTCTGGAGCTTAGAATGGGTACTGCATATCCCTGCAGGAGCCAAGAGTTCACCATTAGTCAGGCCTCTGAAAGTTACTGAACCTGAACTTCTGGGTTCTGGGAAATGGGCTCTACCTTGCTCCTATGGAATGAGGCTCAAGGGGTTCCTAAGTAATTGGTGGCCCCGTAAAAACCTCATACATCCAAAACCTCCTCTGAATATCACACTACACCCCCTAGCAGCACTTCAACCAACCTTAACAACAAGCTTGAAATGAATACCAAATAAAGAAGCCAACCTCAGACATCCTTAGCCACAGCAGACTAGCTTTTCAAAGACCTAAAATGAAAGTTCACTCCACTAGGCTTTGTTCTGAGTTCAGATAGCAGCCTGTGCTGGGTGCACAAGAGGCAATAAGAGGTCTGGAAAGCAGCAGGCAGGAAGCAAAAGTCAGGAGCTCTACTAAGTCACATGCACCTAGGGGCAAATGTCTGCTCCAGCAGCAAGGGGTCCGTTGGGCCCCTAAAGCTGGGGGTCCTCATCTGTACAAGGTGAATAAAAACATGATACAAAGACAATTACAGATCTGAGTGTGGTGATACACACTTGTGATCCCAGCACTCAGGAGGCTGAGGCAGGAGCACTGCAAGTTCAAGGACAGCCTGAGCTACAGAGTGAGACCCTATCACTCACTCACACACTCACACACACACACACACCCCTCAGAGGCAATCACAGTGAGCACGTTATCACCTGTTCTCAGAACCAGGCCCACCACAGAGCACCAACTGCCTTCTTTTCACCATTATCCACTCCAGGTTTTTCAACAGTAAACATGCAAAAGATTCACTCAAAGTCTTGTAAAAATGCAGATACAGTGCTGATTAAGTAGGCTGCAGTTCGGGCTAGGGATTCTGTGGTTGTGACATGCTCCTAGGTGAGGCTGATAAGGCCCACCCACCAACTGCAAGTTCGCTTTAAAAGAATCAACCTGTGGCACTTGTTACATATTCAAATTACTAGGACTCTCTGCAGATCTTGATTCATTACCTTTGGGCTGGAGCCTGGAGAGTTCGGGGGGAAAAAAAAACTAGTCTACACCTCTCGACAAAAATCAACTATTGCTGAGATACAGACTTAAATATTAACTAGGGAGAAAAAAAGGTGGCTCCTTTAGCTAGAAGGTTAAAACGACCAATTCAGCAACCAGTTTCCCTAGAGTTTTCAAACTGTGATTTATTCGTGAATAACAAGGAAAAATGTCCCTTCCTTGTCCCACTGAGGAGGAGGCTGATGGGCTGTGTTAGATAAAGACCAAGGTCCATTTGAACATGAGCATTATTCTATATAGGTCAGCAGAAAATAATGGTGGCCACCAAAATGTTTAACTACTTGAAACATTTTGCCAATGACCATACTCCAAGAATCTTTTCTTCAGTTTTTAAAAATTTAAGAATCTTCCTTAAGAGCCAAGATACATCACGGACAGATACAAATTCCCTATGATGAATGTGATCATTATGTATACCTAAAATGTACCAATAAACTTAATTAAAAAAGAATCTTCCTTTACCAAAAAAAAAAAAAAAAGCTAAAACTAATACTAGCAACAACAAAAACAGTAGCTAATAAAACAACTAAGTCTGAAGTACAAGATCAAAATTTTATGTTACTGATTGGCCTGGAGAGTGTTATTACCCTTCAAAAGTTACTAGGGTCCTAATTGGTTGTCCTTTTCCAGAAGGGATAGTGAAGTCGGAGGAAGACAAGGTCTTCTCCAAGGTCACAAAATAGTAGCAGAGAGATTATTGAACTCAAAAGTCGTTTCGTTCAGATCTATGCCCACAAACCAATTCCAACTTGATCATTAAAAAAACCCCCATAAAACAAAATCCCCACTCAATTCTGCATTTTTGGAAAAAAAAAAAAGGAGACAGGGCACATCCAAAGTGGCCTCTCACCTAAAACTCAATCTGTTCATTTCCTTTGATGTGGACACTTTATTAACTTAGAAGGGAAGAAAAACACACACTATTTCCTCTGTGTGAGTGCAACCTCTACAAGAGACTGCAGGGTTTTATTTAAACCAAATTTAATCACATCAAACCCTACATCTTACTTGTAGAATTACAAATAGCTACTTGTAATGGGTACTAACAGATGAATCCATAAAATGTGCACAATTCAGATTATGCGTAGCTATGGCTTGCAGAAGACACAGGGCTTGGAAGAAGCGAGACTGATCAACATGAATTAAAACTGACTTCTGAGCTCGCTGTACCACTCGGAACGGACACGCGGAGTCCTTCCAGTATCCAGAGCCTCTCTCCCTAGCTACACCAGGGTCCGACTCGGTAGACAGAGACAACAGCGCCAACTACACTTCGCTCTCCTTCCTTGGGGAAACTAATTTCTCGAACGGACGAGGAGGAGGCTGCGTTTTCCACCTGGGCAGGCGAGCTGCCGCGGGAGGCTCCAGCCCGGCCGCCCGCCGCCCTCCGAGCGCCACGCCGCGCGCCCGCGGGGACAGCAGGGGCGCTGCGCCCATTCAAACGCGCTCCCCGGCCGGTGGCTCTCGGGGCAGAGGAGGACCCCGCTCCCCGGCAGCAGGCCTGCCAGGCCGGAGCAGCTCGCGGGCCACGCGCTCCAGCCGCCCGGGAAGGTCGTGACGAACCCGCCCGCGCTCACCGCCGCGCCCGCGTAGTCGCGTCCGCTCTCGGTTCCCGCCCGGCGGCCCAGCCAGATCCGCCGCTTTAAATCCACGTCGGCTGCGCCCCGCCCTTCTGCTAGGCCGCCCAGCGCCCGCCCTCGAGGCGGGAGCGCGCGGCTCCGGGCCGCGCCCGCACCGGGTTCGCAGGCCGCGCGCGCCGGAGAAGCGGAAGTCGGCGTGACGAGGAAGGATCGGGCCGTCCGGGACCGAGTCACCGAGGGCGCTGGTCCATAGCCCTCCCTGGGAGGCTGTAAATTTAAATTCTAATCGAATAGGAAAGTACTGGAATGGTAGCAATGAAATAAGCTTATTACCAGTTGTTTTGTTTTGTGTTTTTAAGTTTCCAGTTTATTCTCCCAAAGAAACGCATCCGTAATAGAACACCAGAAAGTACATATGAAAATTTAACTCCAACTCAGCTTCTCTGGTCTTTTAATCTAATGGATTATAAATTATATCTGTGGTTCTTTGGCATTTATTAAAAAGCTGAAAATATTCAAAGAAGCTGTTGTATCCCAGGAGTGCTGTAATTTTCATCAGTGCCCTAGCAGCTGCTCAGCTGGAAGGGTCCTGGTCTATGTCAGACAGCTACTGGGGTTAGCACGCAGCCCCCACCCTCCCCTGGCTTTGCTTCGCGTTCTTGTGTTTTCACTTTCTACATTGTTTTCTCCGTTAAGACATAGTTGGGGGGGGGGGTTGTTTGTTGTTCTTTACAACTTTCAGCCTTGTTTGGATTATTGACATTAATTGAAGTGATTTGAGTTACAGGTGAGTGACTTATTTGACATGGTGTGTGCTAGTGCTTACCACAGCTGCACTGGGGAACAGACCTTACTGGTCATAATCAAATATTATGAAGGTACCAGAGTGCCCAAAAAGTGAGTCACACATTAGCATCAGCACTTTAGAATATGGGCTTATGGAACACATTTTAACAACAGAAACAAACCAGGGGTGTTGGGTGACTTATCTAAAGTGACATGTTACCCAACAACTTGGAACCTATAGCCATGCCATCTGGCCCAGTGGCTTTTACAGATTAGGAAAAGGAGGACCAATGGAAACCTAATTACAGACAGACCCAAAGCTCCTGGTAGAAATTAGAAAGAGGTCTACCTTTGGAGCCAAAATGCTTGTGTCAAAGTCCACGTGTGCCCTTTAGTGAATCATTAACCTCTTCTAAACCCCAGCCTGGGATGACTCTATCCTGGGCATCTTCATGAAGCCCTTTTGTCCCTGAGGCTGCTGGAGCAATCCACCTTCCTACAACTGGTATCCCAGGTGGAGGTTTGCCCCCTTGCTGAGCCATCAGTCCCCAACTTAATGCTTTTTCTTGTCCTTCTTTAGCCCTTTCTTCTCGTCTTCCAAATGCTGAACACTCCTAAACCATGCCTTCTGGCTTTCTCATTTCCTCCACCTCTCCTTGACAAACTTCAGCCCTAATTCTGTAAACTGGGCAACAATTAGGATTTTGCTTAAAATTTTAACCCCCAATCTACAAAGTTAACTTTTCCATACAAACTCTTATTCATTTGTCCTCAGGCTGATTTCCTCTCTGAACACCATGCCTAGTACAGTGTTGGGTGCAAAGGAGGATCAGGAAGAAACCAAGTCATAGAGAAGTCAAGTCACTTGCCCGAAGCTATAAAGGCACTAAGGAAAGAGCTGTATTCAACAGAGCTCTGTCCAGCTCAAAAAGCTATGTTTTTACCCACCTTGCTGTGCAGTACTGTCCTAAGAAGCCTTCCTTTACAAAGCTTTCTCCTTCTAGGAATAGATCTCCTCCTAGAGGGCTGTAGAGCAGAGTGCTTGCCTAGCATGTGCAAGGGCTTGAGTTTGAGCTCTAGCACTGCAAGATCTCCCCCTATGATATTTTATAAAAATCACTTAAGTAATTCAGAATCCTTCCCAACACTGTCTTAAAAAAATTATCTTTAGGAACAGAGAAACAAATATATAGCTGATAAATGTTTAACATCCCCCAGGTGCTCAGAGAACTGATTGGAAAATCATCTGGTTGACCTTAAATTAAGAAAGTATCCGTGCAAACTTTGTTCCATAATTCCCTAAAACTCCTATGACCTCTTGAAAGTAGTTTTTAGTTTTGGGGTTTCAGAAACACAGGACCTCAGGCATACCAGGCAAATGCTCCCCCACTGAGCTATATCCCTAGTCCCCTAGAGTGGCATTTTAGAGACATGGATCACTGCCCTCCAAATACACTGGGCAACCCCACAGTATTTCAGAGGTAGGTTCAAAGCAGTAAATGAGGCAATGCTGTGGTCTCTGCCTCAGGTAGCTGTTCACTGCACTTGGGACTGCACAACCTAGGCACATCACTTGGGCTGGCTCTGAGATGGGTGGCAGGTATGACGTAGATAAGAGGACAGGCGGATTGGTTACATGGAAAAGCAAACCTTTGTGAAAGTAACAGAATTTCACAATGCAAGGGTTAATGACATTATAAGAACAATTTCACAAAATATGTTCATGAGAGTTGCAAATAAATGAAAAACACAAAGCATCTTTGGTTCAAATGCACTTTTAGTTAATGTGGGAAAAGAAACTGCTTAATTACAGGATTTCAACTCCTATTAAATACTCTTGGCTGCTGTTAGAAGTTTTGTTGAACACTCCCCTAAATCCTGTTTAGAATCAGGTAGAATTCGAAATTTGAATTGAAATAAATAAACATGGATTTATATTTCTGTCAAATTATGTAGAATAAAAGGGACAAATTTATATCCAATGAAATAGTTGTTAGAACAATATTTTAAAGGGGGAGTACTATCTTTTATTTGTCTTTTCCTTGGCAACTTTCTAATGGGTAGCAAAAAAAAAATGAAAGAAAGAAAGAAAGAAAAAGACATACATATTTTGTAAGCCTTAGATTTGTAAAGTATACATTTTTAAAAGACAAAATTTACAATAGCAAAAATTAGGGGAAATGCCCATAAATGATTACAATTTTATGGGTTAGGAGTAAGGGAAAATGCTATCCCACAACTTTAAAAAGTCATTTTCACATATAGTTTAGAAAAAATTTGGCTGCAAGTAACAGCATGCTCAAATAACACTACATTAATTTTGAATAGAAAAATCTACAGATAAGAGTGTGCTGGTTAATCTAGACCGGTAACTTGACTGGATTAATAGATTCCCGAAGAGGTGATTGGACTATGAGGACAGTAACCTCATCAATGGGTTTTGTGGATGAGATCATAGGTTGGAGGAAGTGGGTCATGAGGTGTAACTTTGGGGCCTATGTCTGGTCTCCTTGATCACTGTGGGACACAACCCAGGCAGTGCAGTAACATGGGGATCTGAATGCTATAAACCAAATGGGGGAACGAATTCCTAAGGCAGTGGCCATTCTGCTGCATGGTGCCCTGGAGTTCTCTTCTCAAAGCAGTGTTTCACTTTTGGGATTTTGAGTTGAGAAGGGTAGGACTAATGATTCCTCATATTCCCTCAAGACATTTTTCCTATTGTCCTCTTGTAAAGTACTTAACTTCTTTTTAGTGCTAATTTTTTCAGCAACAAGTTTTCTCTTTTGCTCCATCTTTGCAAGCCCTAACTCTACAGGAGATTCCTTTCTAGTGAAACTTAAAGCTTTTTACATTATTCAGCTGTGCCTTTTACTTTTAATTCTCAAGGTAGATCTGTCTAAAAGGCCCCAACAGTAGCCATGCCACTGCCTCAACATTAGATTGCCTTGAAATTTCTTTTGCCAGATTAATTAGTCCACCCCCTCTAATCTCAGTCTCCCTCAAAGCCTCAGCACATTAGCAAAATGCAGATAAATTTTCTTCTAGGGCATAACACACATGGCTTGGAGTCTGAATACCAATGGAGTCCTTCCCAAATGAAACCTTTTGAGCCTGATCTTTTCCACTTGAACTACTGTCAGCATTCTGGTTTTCTGACCTCTGAGCAGAACCTTCCATCAAGCTCAACTTATAGCCTTTTAGGGCTGCTTCTCCAGCCAGCATCTCCAAACCTCTCCAAACTTCTGCAAGGCAGTGCTAAAGGCTTTTGAATTGCATATTCAGGTAGCATCATGGCAATGACTCCACTTATCTGGTAACAAAACCTGTATCAGCTATGGTACAGTAGAGGAACAGAATACATATATATGTTTACAATGGCTACCTGCAGAGTCAGGTGTGGAAAAATGCAAAAGGGAAGTCTATGTGCTGAAGAGTCAAAGAATCCAGTCAAAGATTGAAGACCTGGAGCTCAATGCAGAGTGCTGTGTGAGGCCATAACTGGAAGCCGAAGGGTCTGGGTTGGAAGGCTCGAGATAGATGTCCAAAGGCAATAGTGAAGACTGTAGTTCCTCCAAAGAAACAGAGACAAGAATTCCTTCTCCTTTCCCTTTTTATGCCATCAGGCTACAAGCCTGTTTGTTGGTACCACTCACACCTAGCATTGGTCTTCCCTCTTCAGTAAACCCATCAGACACACCCAGAACAATGCTAAACCAATCAGCTGAGCATTTCTTATTCAAGTTGACACCACAGTTAACTGTCACACCAGACATGGTGGCACAGACCTGTAATCCCAACTACTCAAGAGAATGAGATAAGAGAATTAAAAGTTCAAAACCAGCGTGGGCAGGGCGGGGGATTTTAGTTCAGTGGTTTCACCGCCTGCTGTGCAAGAGCAAGGACCCGAGTTTGATCCAAGGTACCAAAAAAACAAAACAAAACAAAAAACAGCCTGGCAATTCAGGAAGACCTTGGCTCAAGATAAAAAATAAAAAGGACTGGAAGTTTAGCTCAGTGGTAGATCATCCTTGAGTTCAATCCCCAGTACAAAAAAGCACAGGTTAATAAAAGAATAAATAGCAGATTTATTAATGTGCACAAGCACAGGAGTCATACAAAATAAAAGCCTCAAAGGAGGCCTGATGGTTGATGGTTATTATCCTCTTTATAGGGCAGAGGGTGGAGGCTGCAGCTCTTTTGGAGGCAGAGTGGACGATTCTCAGGGGAGAGAGTACATATGAAAGGCACAAGTACCCTGGACTAGGATGTGCTGATTGATTCTCAGTCATCTCTAATGCAAGTGTAGTCTTCCCTGGTTGATGACATGTCAGTAAGAAGATCTGAAGGCAACTGTGTTCTCTTTAGAGAATCTGTCATAGGAGGATGAGGGACCTACAGAGAGAGTCTTCCTGCAGCAGCTGCACTCTCGATGCTCTTCAGTTGATGTTCAAAGTGGCAAAGTTTAAGGTATCCTTTTCTCGACCCCAAATCAATGTGAACAGGGATCCCAACCAATCTTGCCTGTGGAAATCCCTGCTATTCAACCAAATTCCATCTTAGGCAGAGTCTCCTTGTAATCCCTTTCCAGATCCCTGGTTGTTGTTGTTGTTGTTGTTGTTCTTGTTCTTCTTTCTTCTTCTTCTTCTTCTTTTTTTTTTGAAGCAAAAGTTGCTTTAATCAAGGGATGAAGTCCTCACTCAGTCAGAGGGACCTCATTCAACCTTTGGTGGTGGGAGTCTCAGCCTACCCCCCACATGCCCTGAGGCCCCTCAGGAAAGAGGGAGAAATGAACAGCAAATTATGGAAAATGCCTGGGGACAGGAATGGAAGAACCCAGGTTAAGGGGCAGGAGTGGGGCTCTGACAAGATGGGAACAAAGCTGAACAGGACAGGAAGATTTTAGCCCACATGGTTCTACCTAGGGTTGGCTGAGGTGGCTGTGCATTGGGCCAAGTGGAAGGCCACTTTGCCCATGTAGACTGTGTCATCTTGCTGCTCTTCCTTGGCCCTGAGGAAGGCTGATGAAAGGAAAGTGGCAAAGTCAGTGGGGACTGTGGCTCCAGGGCGTTGAGATACTGTCTCCTTGAGGACCTCATCCTTGAGCTTCTCAATGGTGTCACTCAGGGACTTGAACTGAGCCACTTGCTCCATAAGCTGGGCCGATGGGCTCTTGGAAGCAGGGCTGGCACGAGTGATATCTACTACATGAGTGTGAGTGCTCAGCTGATTCAATGTCTCCAGCAGCTGACTGGTCTTACAATATAGCACTCCAGCGGCTAGCTCACTAGCAGGGCCCTCATGGGGTGGGAGGGAAAGCTTTGCAACATGCAGAGGGGGCAGGGCTGCCAAGGATGCCTTCATCTGGGCTCCCTTCAGAATGCTGTTCTCATGCTGGAGCTGAGAGATGTGCAGCCTCATGGCAGAGATCTGCTGAAGCAGCAGGGGTGAGTCCTTCACCAGCCCTGGGCCTGGCAAGGACCCTGGAGCCTGCCCAGGAGTTCCCCTGACAGCAATGCCAGAGACCAGTGTAGCAATGCCTGAGGGAGGGGGACCCCCGGAGCCCCTCAATTGTGCGCTTCGACTGGTTGGTTGTTCAGTCGCTGTTTTAGCTCTGCCTTCTCTGCCTCCAGCTGGTCAATGTCAGCCTGGAGCGCATCCATTGTCTCCTCAAACTCCTTCTCCTTCTTCCGCAGCAGAGTCTGGGTCTTCTCCAGCCGAGTTTGGACTTTCTCAATGCTCTCATCTGCATCTTTGGCAGTGCTGTACAGCTTCCTCTCCAGGAGGCTGAGCCGCAGGTTCACCTCATTCAGCTCCTCTCCCTTAATCTTTTTTTTTTTTCTTTTTTCTGGTACTGGGGATCGAACTTGGGTCCTTGCACTTGCGCAGCAGGTGGCGAAACCACTGAGCTAAATCCCCAGCCCTCTCTCCCTTAATCTTGAGTGACTTCTTCAACTCCTTGATAACTGTCTTTCGATCTTCAATCTTCAAACCTAGGCCTTCAGCATCTGTGATCTCTGCACGAAGGGCTGCAGCCCGAAGCTCAACCGGAGGAGGCTTGCTGGGGGGCTGCTCAGCATCATACTCCCCTTCCTGCATAGCTGTGGCCAGCTTGTTCATGGTGCTGATGAGGATGGTGCATGACTGGTGCAGACACTCATAGGGGCTGCTGGACAGGCTCCCATAAATCTGTTCATTTGCTTTGAAAGCCAGCTCCTCCAGTGCAGCCACAGGTAGCCCCTCATTCTCTGCCAGGGGGCCAATGAGCTGAGCAGCAGCAGCTGTCTCTTTTTACAGCACAGCCACCACCCATGTCAAGTGTTTCCTGCAGTCTAGGAGTGTGTCTGATACCTGGGATCCAAAGGCCAGTGCAGCTGGGATTCCAGGAGCATCTGTCCCTGGCATTCGCCTTCGGATCTTCTTGCAGAACTGGCGGATGTCACTGCATGATGTTTCTAGGTCCCGAAGCAGAAGGGCAAGATCTGTAGCCTCCTGCCCACCCTGCAAGAAGTCACGCAGCCGCCCCACCTCCACGCTCATGCAGTCCAGGGCACTCTGGGTGAACTTAATGTGGTCAGCCAGCTGCATGGTACAGTCCTCAGGCTGTTAAGCAAGGTGGATGCTATATAGATGCTGGTAGTATTTGATGGCCTTGGTGACAGCCTCCATATTGACAGCTTCATCCAGCTGATCCTTGTGCAGCAGCTCAATGAGGAAATTTAAGGAGTGCTCATGGGCACTTATCTCAGGGTAGAGGCTGCCCAACTTCTTATACACATCCACATTGCACTGAGAAAGGGCATGCTTATAGTGGTGCAGTGTGCCCTGCAACAGGCTCAGCGAGTATACCAGTCCAGTAGCAAAGCTGAGTTGCTCCCCTGCAGCTCCTCGAAGTCCAGGCCGCTCCGAACAGTTCTCACTTAGTTCAAGTTTCTCTTGGGCCTGCTTCCAGATCAGCTCTGCCTTGCAAATGAGACGAGGCATAAGCAGCAACACCAGGACACAGTCATGGTCCCCACCTGGCCAAAGGAAGCTGTCAGGCATGAAGGCTGTCAGGAGGGACATGTGCTGGTTGGCCTGGGCCACCTCTATCCGTCTCAACTCCATCTCAATTGCCTTAGCATGTGCCTTAGTCTCAGCAAACTTGATTTTGAAGTCAAAAGTCTCTGGAGGTGGCTGCTGCTGTCTCTCCACAGATGCTTCCCGATGGTTTGTCAGTTCCCGATTCACATCCTGCAGGTGGGCGGTCAGCTGGCGGTACTTCTTGATGGTTTGCTGGTAGTCTGCAACTGTCTCTTGGGCTGCCTCCACACATTTCTGGGCCTCACGCACTCGGGCACCTGCCATGTCCAGCTGCTCCCACAGCTCCAGTTCTGTCTTGTAGGGAACGGGAAGGGGACGTTACCAGAACCTCTGCAGTGAGTCCTGGTCTCCTGTGAGCCATGGCAGCACACAGCGAATTACAGGAAAGGTAGAAAAATGAGACTGAGAAGAAGGTGAGCTTTGGGTCTGATCAGTGCTGCTCTGGGCGGCAAAGACAAAAGCCCCCAGCTTACCACACCTTTTATTCAGTACCTTGTAACAAATGACTTGCAGAGAATTCAGTACATCGGGAGAAACAAATGTAACAAATGACTTGTAGAGAGTTCAATAGTTCACATTGGGATAAACAAGGTGTAACAAAAGGCTTGCAGAGAGTTCAGTACATCTCGGGTAAACAAGATGTTAACAGTCCAAGAACAGTGAGGAACTGAGCAGATGTTTGTTCTCCCAGGATAATTTCAGCTCCCAGGATGTTTCTTGTCGTGTAGAATCACAGCATCACTGGATCACTGAAGTCTCAATTGTGACCAGAGGCCAAACTGGAGTTATTCTGTAGCTGGGCTGTAGGCAAGAGACTAGGCTAACCAAATGATTTTTCCCTAGAATTATGTAGCATTGCTCCCAACACTGTCTCACATGCATTCTCCTGCAGCTCATCATTCATCTCATTCATTGCTTCCAAGTCCCCTACAGTCTCCCTCACCTCCCGAACTTTCTCTTCCAGATTCAGATTCCGGTCAGTCAGCATCTCCACCATCTCCTCAGCACCCAGAGCAGCATCCACCTGCTCCTTGAGCTCATCAGTGGTGCTCTCTGCCTGGGTTAACTCCTCCTGAAGGCGCTCTCGCTGTTGCCTCACAACTTTCAGCTCTTGGTTCTTCTTTTCCATAAGTTTCTGGAGCTTCACATGTTCGTGCTTCTCTGAGGAAGAAAGATCCCACATCCTCACCAGGGCATCCTTGAGATGAGTGTTCTGCTCCTCAAGCTGCTTGAGCTGTTAACTGGATGCAGCCCCACCTGAGCCCTTCTCTTCGATCTCAGCCTTGAGGATCTCCAAGTCTGTAGTAAGCTCATCCACACGCTCCTTCAGGGCCTCCACCTCCTGCTGCAGAGACTCAGCCTGCTCTTCAGCCATCTCCTTGTCCAAAGTGGCCATCTCGATGGCAGCAGCAGTATCTGCCATCTCCTCCATGTAGCACTCCTTAGCCTCCATTGCCTCCTTGGCTTCCTTCCATGCCTCCTTGAGGTGCTGCTGCAGGTCTGTCTGCTGCTCCTGCATTTTGCTCTTCCATTCCTGCACCTGCTCCAGCTGGATCTTGTGTTTCTCCAGCTCTTTCAGCTTTGCCTTGTCTGTTGCCCATTTTAGTCGCAGGGTCTCCAGTTTCTCCTCCAAGTCTCGAACCTGAGCCCTCAGTCCCTCCTCCTCCTTGGAAGGGGAAGAAAGTGGGGGTGCTGCTCCAGGAGAGGTGAGGACTGGCGTGGGGATGATGGGTGCTGCCAATGGAGTCTGAGCTGGGGTACTAGGCTCACTGCTGCTCAGCTCCCCTGCTGATGCTGAGCCAGAGGGACCCAAGGAGCTACTGGCCCCAGACACCCCAGTACTGGCTGGGCGAGTGGGCAGTTTGCTAGTCTTTGCAGCTGTATCAGCTCCCTCTCTTTTGAGGACCTTTGAAGCAGAAGAATCAGGTGTCTCTGGAGAAGTAGTATCTGCTCCATCTTCAAATACCTGGATCTGGGATTGGCGCACAAAGATGCCATGCGTTTCATCACAAGTGAAATACTTTCTGCCTTGGACAATTCCATCATTCTTGCCCTTTGCTTCATCCAGGATAACACCTACCCATTTGCCAGTGGCAAAGAGTGTGGATCCAACATAGGCCACAGTGCCTCGGTGGCCTTTTCCAATCACCTCCACACGGGAGCCTACACACAGAGGCCGGGCACTTGCCTCCACACTCATCCTGCTGCTACTAGGTGTCCGTCCGGTCAAGGGCTCCGCGCCCACCTCAGGTCCCACCGGCGACCGACGCCCAAGCCCCTGCCAGCCCCTTCCCTGGTTCTTCTTAACAAATAAGGGTACTCCTACCTATTAGTAACTTGCCTTTAGCATCTGTCCAGGACTAGACACTGCGGCCACCCCAAGAGCTGGAGATACAGATGTGAAAGAGACAATAACTAGCCTCAAAAAAAATCTCAGTCCATGTAGAGAAGGAAGGAATAAGTAATTATAATCCTGGGAGACATTCAGCAAGAGGGATGCGGTTAGGGTGGTGTTTGTGTTGTCAACTTGCCATTACTGTGACAAATACCTGAGATAATCAGCTTAAAGGAGGAAAGACTTATTTTAGGTCATAGTTTTAGAGGTTACAATACATGCATGGTCAGTTGGCTCCTTTGCTGTGGCCCTGTGGTGAGACAGAACTTCACAGCAGGCAATACATGGAGAACAAAGCTGTTCACCTAATGGCAGTCAGGAAGCAAAAGAGAGGAACATGCCCTTCAAGGACATGTTCCCAATGACCTAATTTCTTTCTATTAGGCCCCACCTCTTAAAAGTTCTACCATCTCTTAAGTAGTGCCACAGGCTGGGGACCAAGTCTTCAATAGGTGAGTCTTTGGGAGATATTTAAGATTCAAATCATAATGTGTGTCATCCCAAAAGGATGGAAACCAGTTTCAGGATGGGTTTTGCAAGGCAAGTGGCCCTTTGTTAGGAGGGTGAACTTCAAAGGCAGATCACTCAGGCTCTTAGTTACCAAGCACCAAAACATGATGTGGCACAAAAGCAGTTGGTTAAAGGTGACTCTTAGGATCAATGGATGAGGAGATGGGGCTCCATGAAGAGCTTCCTCGAACAAATGCCCTGCAGAACTGTCCCTCATGGAAGCCTCTGTCACAGACCCACAGAGCTGCAAGATTGTAAATTGTGCCACTGCCCTCTTTTGTGCCAAGACCTCTGCCTAGCAGCTGCTATTTCTCCGAAGCTGGGCCCTTTCATTACCAACTTCACCTGATAAATTACTTCCACAAGATGTCACTGCCTCATATTTCTCATTTCCTAATTGATCCAATGTAGACACCAGTAATGAATGTGGCTAGGTCAGAGCCTGTGCCCTGCTCTTCTGGCTTTTGTCTTGGAGAAGCACAGTCATTCACGTTAGGAAATTCCTTGAGCGTAGACAATGCTAAGCAGCTAGAAAACATGACACAAGCCCACTCTGGGCAGGCAGAGCATTCCAGTGAGAGGGAGAGACACAGGGGCATAAAAGCACAGATGCATTCGTAGACCAATAAGTAGGGGTGCTCATTGGAGGACTGAGGAGGGAGCATGGGAGATTGGGTTGGGGGAGTGACTTGCAGAATTCTCATAACCCTGGGGCTCCAACAACAAGGGCCAGTATTTCCTTGTATCTTATATCATGTTCCTTTCTGAGAGATGCAGGAACTGTGACCTGCTCCTGGCCAGGCATGGTCCTGCTTCTAGTGGGTTTTAGTCACTATCATTGCAATAAATCTATTGAATTGTACCATCATAGACTCTACTAGCTTGAGAGATGTGTGCGTACACTCTTTCTTCTCTCTGTCTGTCTCTCATGTGCACATTTGTGTCTTTCTCTACATCTGGGCATCTGTTGCCACAGCTCAGTCTGTCTTCATGGTATACTTTTCTAATGTCTCTTTTGCTTTCCTACAGGAAGTATTCAATTACAAACTCTTAGGGCCACATTCACATTCTTTGACAATGGTTTTAAATAGACATAAGATCAAAACCACTTTTGAAAATGGCAATAAAATGCTGTTTGTAAAATGGGATGAACTACAATCCAGCTCACAGTAAAATAAATGAAAAACAATGCCAAAATTGTAACCCTTTTATAGTATCAAATCAATCTTCCAAAATTAGCAGTACAAGCATTTTATAAATTTTTTAATGTACACAGCCAGGCACAGTAGACATGCCTGTAATCCCAGCACTGTAAAAAGCTGAAGAAAGAAGAGCACAAGTTGGAGCCCAGCCAGAGCTACATAGCAAGTTTGATGTCAGCCTGGACTACAAAGCCAGACTCTGTCAAAAAACAAAACAACTACAACACACACACACACACACACACATGCACACCCCAAATCACTAAAGGCCACAGTAGAAGATGAAAGTCCACTCATAATTGGTTCTATGTCTTAGAAATACCTATTAGAAATATCATGTAGATCCACTCTCTCCTTCAGGCTTTCCTTTTTATACCTCATCTTTACATCGGACGGGGTTCAGCAAGTTCCTCAGTCTAGCCTGAGTGCTGCTTTCAGCTTGGGACTTTACATCTACACCACAGTTCTCTGACCAACAGGTGCTAGACTGATCATACCAACCAGAGCAGGGCGGGTGACACAAGTAATGGCAAAACAGTTGCCTCGGCAGCAACCACACTAGGCTGTCTCAACTCCAAGATATTCAACTCTTTCTCCTTCTCTCAGGGATTTTTGTCACTGTAGTCAGCAGAGATTTGAAGATTATCTCAGTCCCTTTGTGGAGAATCCCCTTCTATAAACCAGACAAGACAATTAAAGCAGGAGGGCTTGGTATTATATCCCCAGGAAGGTTATATATATTATATCAACTACTTAACATGTAGTTTTAAAATTATGCTTGTGATTTAATACCAAAAAGGGGAACAGGCTGCTAAGTAGGATTCCCCTGTCCCACACTGGTGATAGGGGCCAAAAGTTAGGGGAAGAGGTGCTAAATAGCATGCTTTCTAAAAAGAGCTACCACAATGGGCTAATAATGTATCTTTCTAGGGTTAAAAAAGGTGACGGAACCTGCCACCTGGCTCATCCATCAGCTTGGCGCTCCTTGTCCAGGCTCCTGCAACCTCCAGCCTATCTTAGGACAGGAATTCAGGTGGGTGATGGGGGTATTTGTCATTAATCAGAGGCAAAGTCTGTGGGCAGGGAGAGTTAAGGGCTGCATCCTGAGACCTATTCTTTCCCTTTACCAAATCAAAGGGACCACCAAAAGATTGATGGGGATACATTCAACTCTCTCTGTAGTAGGATGCTTGTTGAACCATCAAGCCTGCAGCCAGATGGGGTGCAGTGACTGCCCAATCAGAGCTGAATACCAGTGGGGTCTTGGGAGGACTTGGTGGGGGTCATGGCACAGCTGGAGTATGGGGGTCTTTAAGGATGAGTGCTTATTTCTCAGAGATTTCTCAAGGGGGGAGAGGTATAATCAGGAAGTGTGAGGGGGACACTGGCCCAATGGACACCAGCAAGGTTCTGAGTAGCTCCCAGGGGTTCATATGAAGGAGGATGTTAGCTGGAGGAAGGGGAGGTACCCCAAACTTCCTGGGACCCAAAAGAGGGTTAGGGTCGGCTAATGATTGCCCTTCTGTCTGCTGTGGGGTGAACATGGCTGAACATGCTGACAAACTCCTGAAAACCCCCACAACTGACCCTGAGGAGCCCTCTCCTTGGCCAAGAATGCCAGTATCACACGGACCCAGAGCAATGCAGTTCAAAAGGCAAACCTTTCCTGGTCCCTCTTGCCCTGTCCTAGAAGAGCTAAACTCTCAAGAGAAAAAGGAAAAGGTCAGAGATTGGAGTTGAGATTGTTTCAGACTGAATTATAGTAACTAAAGGACTGAAAAGTTCTAACCTTGGTCTTACCACCCTATTTTAAAGTGAAGTTCAGCCCCTCCTAACTCTGCTGAACCTTTTGATTTTCTGCAGCACTTTACATGCCATATCATTTATTATTTATTGCTTCTCTTGTTTATTGTCTCTCTGTCCCCCTCTAACAACTGCTCCATCTCAGAATGTAAACTCCACAGGAGCAAAGACCTTTGTCTTTAAGTCATGTTTTCCTAGCATCCAGAACTATACTATTTATTTTGGTAATCCTTCACCACATGTGGCTACTTAACTTTAACTTAATTACAATGAAATAACATTTTAAACTCGGTTTCTCAGCTGTAATAGCCCCATTCAAGGGCTCAGTAGCTACATATGGCTAGCAGCTGCCATACTGAGCAGGACCGATATAGAACAACTTCATCATTGGCAAAAATTCTGTTGAACATCACTGATCTAGAACAATAGCTGGCACATTGTGGCACTCGGTAAGTATTTGTAGAGTGAAGTCCTGAGGTTTGTTTGTTGGCAGTGCTAAGAATGGAACCTAGAGCCTTTAGCATGCTAAGCAACTGCTCTACCACTGAGCTACACCCGCAGCCCCTGAATTGTTAAAGACAAGATAGCTGGGGATTTAGCTCAGTGGTTTAGCTGCTGCCTGCCTCACAGGAACAAGGACCCGAGTTTGATCCCTGGTACCACAAAAAGAAAAACAAAACCCAAAAGCAAATAAAGACAAAATAGTGTAGTGCAGAGGCCCCTAATATTTTTAGCACCAGGGACCGGTTTGTGGAAGACAATTTTTCCCGGACCAGGAGTGGAGGGGATAATTTCAGGATGATTCAAAGGAGCTAAAAACCTAGATCTCCTGCATGTGCAGTTCACAGTAGGTTTGGAGCGCTTGTGAGAGTCTAATACTGCTGCCGCTCATCTGACAGGAGGCAGAGCTCAGACGGTAATTAGAGCCACAGTGAGAGGCTGTCAATAGAGATGAAGCTTCACTCCCTTGCCCACTGCTCACCTCCTGCGGTGTAGCCCATTCCTACCAGTGGTCAGTGGCCCTGGAGGATGGGGGTGCATGGTCTAGTGGATAAGAAAACATTAATAACTCTATTAGCTACCTTTCCATTGCTGAGACAAAATACCTAACAAACAACTTAAAGGAGGAAAGGTTTATTTTGGATCACTGTTTCAGAAGTTTCAGTCCTTGGTCAGCTGGCTCCAAAGCAGAAACACCAAGGCAGAAAGCCCTGCTGGAGAAAAGCTGTCCACTTCATGGGAAAGAGATTAAATACAGCATGGCTGAAAGCAACCATTGGGAAAAAATAAAAACCACTCTTATATCCTCCACAGA